GCTGCTCCAGAGCCACTCCATCTGGGGCTTCACCCAACACCTCCCTGCTCCCTCAGCCCCCACCCGCACACCGACGCCCGGCCCCCGCCTGCCCACTGGCTCTTCCCCAGCCCTGGCAGTCACCCACACCTGCCACCCAGGTCCCCTGCTGGTCCCCCCAGCCATGACCCATAACCCCTCAGCCCCCCCAGGCCCTTGCAAGCCCCACTTACCTTAGGCTTCAGGAACGAAGAGTGAGCCTGAACCCCTCCTGCCCCACTCCCTCCCTCACTGTGGGGGCCTCAATCTTTCCCCTCTCCCCTCCCCTCCCCTCCCACCCCTTCCCCTCGCTGGGTGCTGTCTGTATCTATGTGTCTGCTCCTCACTCCCAAGACAGCCCCACCAGCCTTGCTGCTACCTCTTACTCCTGGCCCATAGCGCCCTGCATCCTGCCAGGGTGTGTGGGGACCCCCCACCCTGGGCTCCAAACCCCACAGCCCCCCATAGCTCCCCACACCTTCACAAACATCCCCCCACCACACACGCACAACACACGCACTTCAAAAATAGCATCTTATGATTTACATGCCGATCACTTGATTTTTTTTTTTTAGGGGTTTGTCTCATGATTTTTGGCACGGTGGCAACCCTGCATCAGGTGCCTGGTTCCAACTGAGCCTATGGGTATTTCAGGCTGACCAGCGAGGACCCTGGTCATTTAGATTTAGGTAGTGGCTGAGTGGGACTGAGGCCCTGGAATATAGTGAGATGCCAATCTAAAGGTCAAGGCAATAAAGGCCCTATGCACCTAAAACAGGATTGAGATGGACGTTAGGCACTTAAGTCTGCCTAAATCCTCTGTTAAAAGCCTAAATCCATTTTTGGATTGCTTCTTGGATACCTAACTGCCTTCTAAGATCTGGACCCCTGTGTCTCACCCCTACAACTGCAGCATGGAGATAATAGCATTTCCCTCCCTCACAGGGGCAAGGATAAGTTCATTAATATTTGCCAGGCCCCTGGGTCATATACCAGTAAGTAGGTAGTTAACGCACATGTTAGGAGTGAACTAATGTACTGAGCACTGCATGGATTGCCTAGGCAACTATAAATGAAAGGGAACTATATAGCAACAATGAGAAGCTGTAGGAAGAGCAAAACGGGTAAGGACTGTGGCATCTGCAGCATGCTGTCTTGGTTTACAGCCGACCCTCACCATTTGCGGGGGATATGTTCTCGTATCCCCCATGAATGGTGAAATCTGCGAATAAGGCACTGCGTTCATGAACGCAGTCTGTGCATGACAAAAACCAAACAGGTTGAACTACACATCAGTTAATGCATAGCTGTTTCTAATTTATAGTTTCCCTGATGAGTACAGAGATTTTTTTTCCCCTCCATGTACCAAGTTTGGCAAAGAGTGAGAGAGACAACCTCATCAGGTAGTCAAAAGCCTTGTTTCATAATATGGTTTCAACATGATTTACAGGCCAGAACCATGCTGCTGATACTATGTTTTAGACCAGTGGGGTAGGGGCCTTATATTCAAGTGAGCTGTTACCAGGCTTGGAAATCAGTCCAGTTCCTACTCCAGAGGGTATCTGTTGCCCTGCACCAGAGGGAGCTGTAATTCTTGGGTCAAAAGGAACAGCTGTTCCTGGAACCCTGTGGCCTCCTCATCTAGCAGGAAGTGTAAGGCAAAAGTTACACATGGAAGTTGTACCATTGCAATTATAATGCTGTAGTTAAGAGGATTATCCCCCTCCCCCCAGTCTGGACAGTCATGTTGGTAGACATTTGTTTATACTGGTTTGACTACAAGAATAGGAACAGGTATACAGCATCATTATACCATCATCACTGCAGTAATGATATTGGCTAAAAGAATCACACGGCAGAATTGTGGAAGTACAAAATGATATAGCAGCAAGCCCAAGCTGCTCATTTAGATTCACTGGATGAATCATCCTGGATGAAGCGGGGTCAGAGTTAGGGTGATCGAGCTCCCTTGTCTTGCTACAGGCTCACGTAGATGGAACAGTTCCAGTGTAACAGCTGCTGCGGGCTCTGGAGTAGCAGCTCTCCTTCCCCCTTTGAAGTCACTATGCATGTACGTTTGTCCACACCTTTAGAGCAGGGGTGTCCCAACTGGGAGCCCACCTGCAAGGGGTTAGTTTGCAGTCCTCAGGCTTCCACCTGGTCTCTGTTCTCCTCATCACTCTGGCTGCAGTAGCAGCCAGGGACTCTGGGCTCTCCCTCCCTCCTGTGGCTTCATTTTCCTGCCCCTGCTCCAAGGGGAAGGACAGGGCAGAGCAGTAGCAACCCAGGGCAGCCATGTGGTGTAGTGCAGTGTGGGAGATCCCACAACTGGGGAGCTAAACGTTGGGCTGGAGCACCCAGGAATGCACTGTGCAGCAGAGAGGAGCAGGTGTGATGTAGCTAAGGGGGAAATCCCAGCACAGCTGGGGGAGCCTGTGGTTCACCCTGGTGTGTGGCAGTGGGTGTTGAGAGGTTAGACAGCCTGGCCTTAAAGGTAGGTTTGATGTGGATTTTGGGTGAGTCCTTCAACTTGTCACTTATGATCCACTTAATGCACATCAATTTGGTGCCAGTGCACAGAGAAGTAGGATAAGCTCATCTTGTGAATCCCCCAAATAAACTGTAAGTGTATATATACTACTCAAGCTTCAAGTGCTAATGGTGCATTTATCATAATATTATGTGTAGCTAAGGGCTACAACATTTTTTGTGGCTCCTGACATCTTCCATAGATGACAAGGGTGGCTCTTTATCAGCTGCTAGCAGTTAATTACCACTGATTTGAAATGCTTCCAGCATTTCTTATATATCATCTAGTGCTCAGAAATACCAGTCAGAATGAGGGCTCCACTATACAAACATAGTCCTGGCTCCACAGAGTACTGATACAGAGCCTCTAATCAGTAGAGGCCTTAGGGGAGGAAAAACCAGGTGACCGCCCAGGGCCCCACACTTTAGGGGGCCCACATTTTTTGGGGGGGGTGAAGTTTTTGCAAGGAAGTGGCTCTATTTTCATTTTAACACTTGATGATTTATCTAATTCCCCCAAAGAATATTAAAAAGATCCATGATACAACTGTGGTGGGTTAATATTTACCTGAGTACATACCTCTAAGGGGCCCCAAACGACTCTTATCCTGGGCCCCAACAACCCTAAGGCCATCACTCCTCAAATCCAAGGAAGTGCTTTAGAGAATAGACTGAGAACAGGACAGAATTAGTCTGACATCTCTGTAGAGAGAGTGACACCAGAAGGAAGTATTTTCCCTAGATAAACACAGCAAGGCAGAGAAGGGGCTATGACACAGGTGGCTGTGTAGGCCACTTGCAGATGAATTGCATCTGGGAACATGCACATTTAACATGAGAAGCAGGCTTAAGTAGGCGCTTTTCAGAGATTTATTTGGTTTCTTTATAAGTTGCTTGTATACAGTTGTTGGAGCAGCTTTATTAAGATTAATGGATTTAATACCAGCTAAGCTAACTGCTGCCCATTGTGAAATGCCACTGTAATGTGCATATATCTTGCATGATATCTATGCTAGATAATAAAGAATTAAAAACAATTTTGTCTCAAACTGCAGCCTTAAGTTGGCACAGGGTGTCAAAAGTGGGCAAAAAGCAACACCGCTTATTAAAAATGTCCCTGAAGACTCCCAAAGGGGCCTGGGTAGAGTAGCTTTACCATTCTTTATGAAGTTTTCTTTAACTCAGCTTGCAATGGAGCCCTCAGCTGGTATGTGTCTGACAGGGCCTGCAAACCAAAAGGGAGGCACATCTACCTCTACTGGGGTATTTTCATAAGGGCAACAAGTGCAGTGTGGCATTGCCTAGCCTTTTAGGGGCCCAACCAAACAGTGGAAAGCATAGCCAGGGGTTACTTGTCCAGGATCCCTATACAATGAATGGGAAGAGTTAGGCAGCTCACAAAAGCCAGCATACTGAGCAAAGGGCTGCTTAAGACAGCTGGTAGGAAATGCTACAGAGAAGTACATGGGGGAAGCCCCATCATTCAAAGAGAAATAGTTACACATCTGCATGTAGGATTCATTTCTGTGAAGCATTTCTCAGGGCAAGGTGCCCAAATCAGGGCAGCTCTTCTACAGAAAAAGAAGGGAGTGTTGCTTTTTTCCTTGTAACTTAGAGCAGTGGTTTTTAGCCATTTTTCTATTTGTGGACCACTAAAGAAATGTTGAATGGAAGTGCAGACCCCTCTGGAAATGTATTGTTTGTATAGCAAACAGAAGTCCATAATTACTGAAAAACTGTTGTGTTAA